ATATTTATTTCTTCTCTTTGCCAACCAGAGATGGGATAGTTCTAAATGATTTATTTCTTTTTACATAAAATGATAGAGTCAAATGATTTTCTGATCCCTGGACTCTTTGAGTCTATCTGATTTTATGTATGTAGATGATCATATTGTCCCCAAATATTACCTTTTTCTTTCCTTTATTCACCACCTCTCAATTATTTTAATTCTTAGGTTGTGAATTTCAGTCCAGTGTTTTGAGTAAACTCCTCCTTTTTATCACCGAAGATACATTTTAGGATAGTAGAAGAAAGTGAATTAATTAGTCTTTGATCAGCTTCAGTCTAGGAGAGGTGAAACAGTGTGAGTTCTAGAGTAATTCAGACCAGGGGTCTAGTCCCAGCTTTGTCACTTACCAGCTATGTGAACTTGGGCATATTACCAAACTCTCTAAGCCTCAGGCTCTGCATCTGTGAATTCAGTTTTTAATATCTATCTCATAGGACTGATAGAGTGTGGTTGATGTGTGCAAAGCACCTGGAACAATGCCCGGAGTGCGCTGAGACTTCAACCAATACCTGTTATTACTACAATTATTTCAACCACAGAGGATACCATCCATCTTGATGAATTTTGTTTTTAAATTCAGAGGATAACAGAGAATATGCAACACTCTCTGTTGTCATGGGACAAGAAATCAGCCCAAAATGCTGCAAAGAAACTCCATGTAAAATTTCCCCCATTTAAACATACTTTTGGTATGGGAGTATCTTTCCCAGCTGAATGCAACTCAAATCCTCTAGAATTTGGTTTAAAGACCAACTCTGGCTTTTTATCCAAACCATTTCTATTTTTATTAATTTCTTCACCACCCCAAATCTAGATCTGCTTTAGAGTTTACCAAAGTATGTACACACACACACACACACACACACACACACACACTCACACACACACACATTTAAACACCCTTTAAAAAAATGGACTCCCCAGTTCATGGCAAAGAGTACCAGACCAGTAGCTTGAGTTTCTAAGATTATCATCTTGTTTTTCAGAAAATCCCTGAGGACTATCGGCATAAAATACCCATTGTGTGCACTGTTCATCTTTACTAGGACAAGAACACCAGGCACTTTCCATCTCCAGCTCAGGTGGAATTTGCTTTGGTTTATTCACATTTCCAAAGTCACTATTAAGGGAAGTTTTCTATTCCAGGCCCAGTACTTCAACTCATACCCACCATTAGAATGTCTGGCTCTTCAACCTAGATGCCCTTCAGTGGATGAATGGATTAAAAAATTGTGGCATATATACACAATGGAATTTACTCAGCATTAAAAGAGAATAAAATCATGGCATTTGCAGGTAAATGAATGACTTTGGAGAAGATAATGCTAAGTGAAGTTAGCCAATCCCAAAAAACAAATGCCAAATGTTTTCTCTGATATGAGGTTGACTTATAGTGGGAGTAGGGAGGGGGAACATGGGAGGATTAGATGAATTCTAGATAGGGCAGAGGGGAGAGAGGGAGAGGAAAGGGGCAGGGGGTTAGCAAGGATGGTGGGATGTGATGGACATCATCATCCAAAGTACATATATGAAGACTTGAATTGGGTGTCAACATACTTTATATACAAACATATATGAAAAATAGTGATATATATGTGTAGTATGAATTTTAATAAAAAACAAAGTACATGTATAAAAGGCATGAATTGGTGTGAACATACTCTATATACAAAGATATGAAAAAATTGTACTCTATTTGTGTAATAAGAACTGTAATGCATTCCACTGTTGTGTATTTAAAAAAAAATAAAATCAATAAAACTAAAAAAAAAAAAAAAAAGAATGTCTGGCTCCTGCTCAGAGTCCTACAGTCTCATCTACCTACCATGCAGCCAACTCAAATTCACTTCTTACTGATGGATATTAAATTTCTGAAAATCTCAAATACCTTGCCTCAGAAAATTTAAACCAGAGATCTAATATTGAACACCTCCTTTTCTTTTTTCTTTTTTTTTTAAACATTTATTTATTTTTTCTTAGTTCTCGGCAGACACAACATCTTTGTTTGTATGTGGTGCTGAGGATTGAACCCGGGCCGCACGCATGCTAGGCAAGCGCGATACCGCTTGAGCCACATCCCCAGGCCCCACCTCCTTTTCTTATCCCTCTCTTTTTACTTGTCTTTAGATCTTAGGGAATATTTGACAACTTTCATTATATAATAGCTAATTGTGTTTTGGTGCTGGGGATTGAAACTAGGGCTGCTATACCATTAAACTACATCCCCCGAGCTTTTTAAACTTTTTTTTTTTTTAACTTTGAGATAGGGTCTTGCTGATTGGTGAGGCTGGCCTCTAACTTGCAATCCTCCTTCCATAGCCTCCTGAGTTGCTGGAATTACAGGTTTGCATCACTATGCCTGGAAATAGCTACTCTTAAGTCTCCAAAATTCGATAGGTAGGAGTCGTATCTGTCTTTCTCAGCTTCTCCAGACTTCCAAAGAACAGCTACTCCATTGATATCTAGGGAATTAAAGTGCAAATGTACAAGAAATCAAATTTTTCATGATTTTATTTCTCCTTTATTCTTGAAAAAGCTAACAAGACCCAGGTATATGTACTTCTGTTTTACAAAGAAAGACTAAAAGAAATACAAAGAATCAAAACTTAACACCCTTTACTTTTTATTCTGTACCCCATGATCCACCAACTCTATTGAGGGATAATTTAATTTATCATAATATTTATATTCTGATGTCATGTTTTCTGGTTATGGATCACAAAAAAATTAAAGGATTTTCAATTTGTATTATGTGATACCAAAATTCTCCCGCTTCAACCTGATATACTCTAATAAATGTGTGATTCATTTTGATTCTGAAGCTCAATAAACTTTCAATTAAAATAAACAACATTTAAAACAAAGAAAGAGAAAAAGTAAATCTCCAATTTTCCTATATTATCAGGAATACAAATATATACTGTGTTCCTACCAGCTCCATGTTTGCCCTCCTGTATGGTTTGGATGTGAAGTGTCCCCAAAAGCTCATGTGTGAGACAATGCAAGAAGGCTTAGAGGTGAAATGATTGAGTTATGAGAGTTTTAACCCAATCAGTAACACCTGATAGGGATTAACTGAGTGGTAACTGAAGGCAGGTGGGGTATGGCTGGAGGAGGTGGGCATTGAGGGGTGTGCATTTGGGGCATATATTTTGTATTTGGTGAGTGGAGTCTCTCTCTCTGCTTTCTGATCATCATGTGAGTCACTTCCCTCTGCCACACTCTTCTGCCATGATGTTGTGCCTCACCTCAAGCCTTGAGGAATGGAGTCAGCTGTCTATGGACTGAGACCTCTGAAACCGTGAGTTCCCAAATAAACTTTATCTCCTTAATCATTCTTGTTGAGTCTTTTGGTTACCACAG